TATATATATATATATATATATATATATATATATATAAAAGTAAATATTATATTTTTAGAGTTCTTTTAAAACAAATTAAAGGTATTATCTAAATTTCAATCAAATATATTATTTATTTATTTATGATTTTCAGAGTTTTAGTTATTGTAGCTTATACAAAATCTATTTAGATTTATAATGAGGATAGAGTTCTTCATAATCTATTATGTGCATACTAGTCTCTGACATATGATTATTAGTCTACTTCATGTATAAGTACATTTATTGTGGCCAAGTAAAGAAAAAGAATGAAATTATACATTCGAAAAGACAATAACGGATCATAAAGAAATTCTCAAACGATAATGAGCGGAAATAGAGATAAAACTAGTTAGTAGTCGCTCGTTAGATCGAGTTGATGTCGTTTTCATAAGTCCTTTTTTTTACAATTCAAAATTTGTAAAATATTTCTGTAATACAAATAGTTGACAACAAAGACAACCCAAAATTCTAATCTACCATTCTTTCAAACTCGTTATTTCCTTCATCAAATACGGGCAACTGCTTTCTTTTTTTGGATAAGTTAGTGGAGTCTGTGAACTGAGCAGCCGTTCTAGCCCGTAATTCCTCTAAGGTTTCACCTTCCTTGGCTCTCTCCAGAACCTGTAAACCAAGCAACAGTAAGTATTCAACTCAACTTATTCGCAAAACATTTCATTTTTTGTCTTCACTTTAAAAAACGTACCAAGTGACGACCGTAGAGATGGGTGTTGGAAAGAGCTTCAAGTGCATTCCGAGCTTCCTGTTTCGTCATATACTCTATAAATGCAAAACCCCTATGTTTCCCAATCCTCATTGGCAACCTTAATCTCTTTATCTGCAACAATACAAGCACAGCTCAAAACCTTATAATTCAAAACAATTAACGACGAGAGGGAAAGGAGTTTATACCTGTCCGAATGGACTGAATAGCTGTCTGAGATCCTTTTCTGTGGCCTCAAAAGCTACATTCCTTACAATCAACTTTGTAGAACTCTTGTCATTTTCAATTTTTTTAGGCAATACTGCATCCTTTTTAGCACGACAGAGTTGTAATATGAGGGCATGCCCATCCAATACAGTTCCCTAAGCAATAATCACAAGGGTAAGGCACTCGTTTCATAGTAAAAGACAATGGACATAAACTTTCTCCTATTAGCAGCCTAGAATAATACCTGCAGGTCCCTGCAAACTGTCACTGCTGTATCAATAGAATCAAACTCTATGAAACCAAACCCCATGGAAACATTTTTTCCGTTCTTCATATGCTTCTTCACCTACAGTAGCATATAGAATGAAACTCGTAAAAGCAACCATATAGAGAAGGCAATTAGTAGTTGTGGTCTGAAGCAGATAGAGACAAGAAAGAATACCCTGACACTTAGTATATTCCCTCCCTTCATGTGCTCCGCGAAATGCGTTTTCAAATTCTCATCAGATGATCTGAAGTTCAGGTTCTTAACATACAAAGAGCGTGACTGCATCACAAAACATATCACAACAATTTAACACCTGAATTAGTACATTTTCGGGACTCTAAAGCAACTAAATGAAGCACGGGACACCACCTCATACAACAGTTTGGGAAAATAATAAAGTCGGCTTAGACATATTTTTTTTCCCTTTTTCATTAGAAGCATAGTATCAGCATACCAGTTTAAAGCAATTCGACAGAAATCACAATAGGCAAGTCATTATTTTGAGTAAGCTTCCAGCAGAAGATACATGAAACAATTCCAGTAGGCATATAAGAAATTTTACGTGAAATTTCCATGTTTTACAAGGAAAGCTAAGGTTAAGGCTAAACAAAACTAAGTCCAGAAAATAACCTCAATTCTATCAGGGTCAACATCTGCATCAGTAGTCTCTTCGACTTGTTGCTCTAGCAAAGCTCTCTTGACATCATGTCCACCAACAACTTCATTATCACCAACAGCTGAAGTTTCACTGAGAATATTACCAGGTGCCCATTCCAAATATAGTGGGGCATCCCTGCAGTATAAGAGGATAATATAATCAACTTCACAATAAACAAAAACCGACCTGAAATTGGAAAAATGGAATTCAAAATCTCTAAGCTTAAATCATTAAAAAATCTTTAATGCTCTTCTAATATTTAAGTATCCACTAAATGGTATTAAGAAAAAGCAAAAACACACCCATATTTACAATCCAAGTCTTCATCCCATAAAAAATAACAACCAATTTAGTTGTGATATCACTCGACATACGTGGCATCGTGATCTTTCAAGATTCACTCGTGTTCTCCATTTTCATTCAATAACCTGTTCTATTTCGTCATAGTCTTAACATCTTAATAAGGTACCATCAAATTGGATGCAATAATAGTACACACAATGTGATACAACAATTTGAAAGCGCTAACAACTAATTGCTAAATCAACTTACTTGTACCGCTTGTATGCTAAACCTCTGAAAGCAGCCCGAGCGTTAGCAGGTTCTAGAAAGATAACCTGGTTGGTATCAAAAGTTCCAATGAGAAATATATATGACATATTATGGGTAAATTGAATATTGTAAGATGCTGTTTTTACATCGCACAAATGTTTTAACTGTTAGAGTAGGTGACCAACAAGCCAACTTGTGGCTGTGGTCTTTCTCTTTTCCTTGTAATAAAACAATCGTTTTTCGTTCGTAATAATAAAATATCTTATTTGGCATTCTATATCTGTTATCCCATGCAAGCAGCATAGATATAGTCCTAACGAGTTACTCTATTACTGTGAGTTGATCTAGTAGAATCGTGAGATAACTCAGCAATGTAATGTAACTGTTAAACCTTGTTCCTAGTCGATGGGTTACGCCAATAATGAGGATACCGGCCTTTCCCTTTTGAGACTAGCACTTAGTGTATGTGTAATGCGTCTCATCAGTCCTCGGTGTTGTGACATCGGCATACTTGAGTGGGTGCTCATACTGGATGAGTTCACTGAACTCCCTCGCCCTAGAAATCTATAAGTGGTTCTCATTCATCGAGTAATAGGTTTCTAAGATATAGTTGTACACCATTAGTCCTTAAGACCCAGACATCACCGTGACTTCACTAGAGGACCGATTGTATCGTGACCTGTCCCTGAGTCCCACCGCGGACCGCTCCAAGGGCCAACGTTCGTGCAATCCGAAATCTAGTGTGAAGTCTGTGCATTGTAGTAGGGGATTCGAGCGCTTGAGTAGTCATGGATGTCCTGTGTGTTCTGACGGTTTATAATCCATGGAATCTCTGGCCAGAGTTGATAGTGGGGTGATTAGGGAAATGTGTTTCCCTAAGTCACACACGAACGGATTTATAATACCTAGAACGTTCGCACGGTTATTGAACTTTATAAGAGGTCTCGGTGAACCAATGCCTCTAGTTCAATCGGGACATGTGCTACGAAAGGATCGTACTGTACGCTAACTATATCATAAGGTTCTTGCAGGCACTTCATTTGTATCTAGGGAATCATGATGCGTAGTTGCTAGACGCCAATCTTGATTCGTTGGGCACCGATTTGATCGGGATTAGGTAAAATGAGTTTTACTCTAATCGGGACTCTTGGGAGGAGTTCGTATAAGAACAATGTGTTGTTCGAATCACAAAGAGTTGTGAGCCCACGGCTAGCATACACCTGAACCATTGAGGGTCACACTTCTCGTGTGATATAGATCCTTGATAACAACAAGCATAGATTAATGTGTTAATCTTTGAACGATTGGATGTCGATATGATTGAATCCAAGATTCGTAATTGTGGATTGCGAATTGGAATAAACGTAGAGAAAGAGAGACATGCGGGATTTAGTGAACTTTCTAAATTGGGAAGTTTCCCGATTTAGCAAGTCCACTGAAATGGAAGTTTCCAATTTTGGAAATTGGAAATTTCGAAGAGGCACTCGTATCGACGAGGACTTTGAGCTCGTCACAAATATAATTTTGTTATAATTTTGTGAACGATCGTTTGTTAGAAACGAGGCCGACGAGGGAATGGGCTTAATGCATCAGTGGGTCAAGCCCAATGACTTAAGCCCACTAGGTTTGAAAACCCTAAGTATAAATAGACCTCAAAAAGAGTTTTGAGATCCGATTTTCAGCACCAAACCCTAGCCGCTCAAGCCCTAGCCGCTCCCCTCTTCGGCCGTTGCTGCCCTGGCGCGCCACCGCCGACCACCGCCGGAAACACCGCCGGTTTTCTCCTTTTCTTCCTTCGTTTTATTCGTGTTGTTATCTAACTCGTTTACATCTAGTGCTGTAGTTCGAGTGGGTCGAATATACGAGGTGAAACCTAATTGGAGAGGAGCTGCTGCCTCGACGAATCCACGAACCGCCGCACGCGCCGCACCGCCGCTCACGCGCCGTCGCTGCCGCTGCCACGCGCCGCCGCTGCCACGCGCCGCCGCTGCTGCTGCCGTTCGTCGCCGCTCGTTGCTTGCTGGATCAGCTTGTTCCAGCTGTGAATCGCAACTCCGTGGATTGGTAATTAGCAGCTTGTACGTGACTCGTTCTAGGATTTCGATTCGTCGAAATCGCACGCTACAAGAGGTAATTAAATCGGAACTTTCGTAATTCGATTCGAACATGTTTGTATGATTATTAATTTGCGAGCATGAGTAATACGTGATTACATGTTTCGATTTTGTGAAATGAAGAATAAGCATGTTTCGTAATTTTCGGTTTTACGTGTTTTTCAATTAAATCGATAATTACCATATGTATGGCGGAAGCATTAAGGTACGTTGACTATGTGATTAGTTTATGCATGTAATCGAAACTAGTTCGATATAAAATTTTAAATTCTGCTGCGTATACATGCACGATCCCCAACAGTGGTATCAGAGCCACAGGTTAATCGTTTATTTGTCAACGTGTTTATCGCTTTCGAAAGCATGCTTCGATTTGTTGAATTGTTGAATTTTTGGTGTTATCAAATTGGGTGGTTTAATATTAATTAAATATTTTGAATATTTCAGAAAATATAAAAGATTTTAATTTTGGAAAATTCGATTTTTGCTGCTGTTTTTCAGCTGACCGAACCGGCCTGGTTGAACCGGTCCGACCGGTCCGGTCAGCACAAACAAAAAAAAAAAAAAAAAAAATATTTGATTTTCTGAGAATTAATATTAAAATTAATTGACTTTTAATTTTTGAAATTATTTATCAATTAAACCCAATTAGATAATTGATCCATTAATTTAATTTGAATTCAAAGAATAGTGTTGGATTAATTATTTAATTTAATCGTTAAATTAGTTTAATTAATGGAACACAAATTGGATGACAAATAATTAATGGGCTTCATTCTTATTTGAATGATTTATGAATGAAGGAGGTCCGTTAATTATATTTGCAATTTATCGTATTAATTAATTAATTCATGAGATGAATAATTGTGATTAAGTACGATGATGATCGTATGTTTCTCTTAGGATCAATATGCGTTTCCACATACCTAGACAACATAGTTGTAGGAATCACAAACGATCATAACCTAAAACTTCCGATGAGCTAATAACATTTAAAAAATAAAATCCCTCATTCTTAATCAAGAATAATTATCAAGCTATAAAGAAAAACCAAATTGTTGAATTTTTGTTTCCTTCTACCAACAATTAAATTATGTGTAGCCTCTCATAATAGTGCAGTAAGCCGTGTTAGCGGGGAGTGCTATTGTGGGATAAGCTGTAATTTAATTGACATTAGATGGAGATACGGTCATAGATAAAATTATGTTGGATTAATGTGGCCGGCTAGATTAACTACGGATTGCATTAGTTTGATATAGTTGGATCTATGACATCTCATATTGGTAGGCTAGACTTGACACACGAAGATTTTGATATTCTAGATTAACTTAGGTCATTATCAAGTGTGAGGTAAAAATCGATCTTTAGGGTCACATAGTGATGTGATTGATAGTACTCTACCTTTAGGCTTATGTAATCGGGATAGATTAACTACGGGTTACATTAGCGCTATTGGACCTAAAGCCCATTAAAGAAAAATAAGTTTTCTCGATTGTCTGCTAGAGGGTGGTGGAATTCGATAAAATTAGTGGGAGAACAATTAAAACATAAAAGTCCAAAATTTTTAATTGTAACGATTATTACGAACTAAACTCTAATTATTGTCTTCTTAAAATTTTCTCAGCAACAATGTCCAAACATCCCCTTTCCTCAATCCTCAACCAAAACAAACTCACCGGTCCAAACTATTTGGATTGGCTTCGCAATCTGAAACTTGTGCTCCAAGTCGAGGAGCGTCTCTATGTGCTCAATGAACGTCCCCCCGCTGCTCTTCCTGCGACTGCTACTGCTGACGAGACTGCCACTTTCGAGGCATGGAAGAAGGACGACCTCCATGCGAGGTGCTACATGCTAGCATCCATGGTGCCAGAGCTCGCGAGGAAGTATGAGTCTCACCTGCATGCTTATGATATCAAGTACCATCTTGAAAGCATGTACAGTGAGAATACTAGGGCATCGAGGTACTCAGCTACCAAGGAGTTGATCACCATGAGGCTGCGTGAAGGGGCTTCGGTCCACGAGCACGGTCTCAAGATGATCACTCTCCTTGAGAAGCTGGTGAGCCTCGATGTCACCCTCCCAGCCGAGCTCTCGGTGGATTTGATCCTACTGTCCCTTCCTAGTTCTTATGAATCGTTCATAGTGAACTTCAACATGAACAAGCTCGATCCACCGTTGGATGAGTTGTTGAACATGTTAGTCAGCTATGAGTCCACGATCAAGAAGGAGAAATCTGTTCTCCTAGTTGCTCCTTCTGCGAAGAAAGGTTCTTTGCAGAAGAAAAGGAAAGAAAGGAGTTTCGGCCCGAGCAAGAAACTTGAGAAGGGCGAGTCGAGCGGAGTGAAGAAGGACAAGGTCACCAAGCAAGTTGATGACGCTTGCCATCATTGTGGAAAGAAGGGCCATTGGCGACGCAACTGCAAGGCTTACCTCGATCAGAAACGTTCTGAAAAGGGTACGTATTTAGTTGAAGTTAATTTGTCCGTTAAATCTTCTGCTTGGGTATTGGATACTGGTTGTGGCTCACATCTTTGTAATGATTTGCAGCTCATGACAAGAAGTAGGAGGCTTAATGTGGGTGAGACCTACCTAAGAATGGGCAACGGAGCAAGGGTTGCTGCTGAAGCCATTGGGACAATTTATCTTTCTGTTTTGGATTCTAGTTTTTCTATTGTTTTGAACAATTGTTTATTTGTTCCGTCACTTATTCGAAACCTTATTTCTATTCCTGTTTTGGATAATGAAGGTTTTACTTTTGTTTTTGGAAATTCGATTTGCATTATACAAAAGGATCAAAATGTGATTTGTAAGGGACAACTTATAAACAACTTGTATGAACTAAATCCAAATGAAATACCAATTAACGTTATATCAGCAAAACGAAAAGATATAAGTCTTAACCCCGCACAACTTTGGCACGCTCGACAGGGTCACATTTCCTTGAGAAGGATGAA